CTCACACAATCTTTCCATCCAAGCCATCAAGTGGTTTGGTGGTGGCACGCCTACGCATCTCAAGAGAAGAAGGACCAAAAATTCCTTCCATTGGCCTACCCGGCCGAAAAGTGGGAAACAGGATGAAACAAAAAGAATTATTGGATTCTTATGGTCTATATATATATATCGCTGGCGATCAAGCTGGGAGTTATTTTCTTGATGTGCAGAGATGTGCTTGTAGTTCGGACAATTATTCCATTGTTTTCGAGTGACCACCAGTTCTTCAGCTTACCGAGGACACCTTTGAGTGGCAAGTGGTAATTCCTGATTATGAGATGGAGCATAGTGAGCCTGAGTTTTTGGGGCAGTTTTGCATTTGGGAGATTTTAATTTGTGATAGATATAGGTTCCGGTAGATACTAGTCTATATCTACGTCAGAAATCCCAGTCTCATTTGAATCATACACCCAAAAGAAAAACACGGTGAAAGCTATGATTGGTTCATATCAGGCCTTTAAGTATGCCCACCTCACAAGGGATTTAACAATGTCGAACTACTAGAGAGAGAGAGAGAGAGAGAGAGAGAGAGTTAAATCAAAAGCGAATAATAAGATTAGAGATGGGTCTTTCTGCTGGTGATTAAAAAACTCGATGTAATGTAACGCAGCTCGTTAATAATTTGTTTGTTGTAAAAGGCCTTCTCCAACTCATGAGGAAACCCAAATTTTCCCTATTCAAAAAGTAACTATTTGGGTTTTGCCCAAACTCAAATAGTTTTTTCTCCCAACCCTCTGGACTCAAATTTTAAGTTCACAATTTTATTAAATTGTTTAAGAATGGTTTAAGTCTAATTTTTTTTTTTTATGGATAACTTTTCTTCATTCAATCTTTTTAAATAACTTCATAATTAAAATTTTTGAACAATTTGACCTAAGAAAATTGAAATTCCACAAATATAATTTGACCTAGATTAATTTAAAATATTGTTTTGACCATTGGATTTAAGTTTCAGCCGTTGAATTTTTTTTTTACCATTAAAATA